TATATAATCATATATGAATTATAATATAGAAATCACATATATAATTATATAGAATTGTATATAATCATATATAATTATATATGACTATATATGGAGCAATATACAACCATGCAGGATATAATCATACATGATTATATATGGAATTGTATATGAGGTTATATATAATCATATATAATTATAGATGACTATATATAGAGCAATATACAGCCATGCAAGATTATATATAATTATATATAATCATACATGATTATATATGGAATTGTATATGAGGTCATATATAATCATATATAATTATATATGACTATATATGGAGCAATGTACAGCCATGCAAGATTGTATATAGTCCCATATATAATTATATATGATTATATATGCTTATATATAGTTAACATACATAAAAATTTTTTCTTTAAAAAAAAATTTTTTTTTGATAATCACAAAAAGTGTAAAATGATGTTTATAATTACGTTTAAATAATTCTGAAATACAAAATTTGTCTCATTTCCTATGAGATGTTTTGTCTGCTCTGCTACTACCTAATAGTAAAATCATTATTTATTTTATTATTTAAATAAGTGTTATATTATAATGGAATTCGGTAAAATAAATAAATTATGAATTATGTCTATCCAAATATATTATAAAATCAATTTTTATATTAAATATTTATGATAAACTCATATGATACATTAAGTAGATCATAGAATCATTATTGTCTAAAATAGCAGCATAGCAGACAGAAACTTCAAAACGCACGGAGATCACCAAAGTTAAGCAGCATTGAGCAGGGTTAATAGAGTTGGATGGGTGACCGCTGGTGTTATAGCCATAAAATTAGATCTAGATTTTTGCATTTTGATTTTTTTTGCATTTTGATTGGTTACACAGAGTTGCGTAGGACCATATTAAATACTCTATCCATAAAATTAACCCAATAATTAATTAGATGTAATAAATATATAATTAAATATTGTTATATATAGTTATATATAATTATACATAATTATATATAATTAGATATGATTATATTTGGCCATTTTTCATATATAATCATATATAACCAATTTATATATAATTATATATAAATATTTTTTCTCGGGTTATAGGAATGATTTCCATATTTTTCTCTCCGTGTATCGACAATTTAATTAATCAATATTTCTATAAATTTTATTCATTAACATTTAACGATTGCCATAGTAACCGTTGCTATGGTCACGGTTGCTATAGCAACTGTTGCAAAAGTGGTTACCATAGCAACGAAAAGCGACAATAATGAAAACGTCACATCAATTTTTCAATAAATGATCTTTCAGACTTACAACACCAACAAAATGGTGCCGGATTCCGCATCTACAGCAACAGCGCTGTTCAGCGGCGTAAAAACGAACTACAAAGTAGTAGGCGTCGATAACAATGTGGCTCTAGATGATTGCGACGGCAGTTTAAACCCCGACTTTCACACCAAGTCGATAATTGAATGGGCACAAGAATCTGGAAAAGATACTGGTTTGTTCAAAATTCTATTTTTTACAATATTAACATCATCATTGATTAATTAATCCTCTACAGGCTTCGTCACCACAACAAGAGTGACCCACGCGACCCCAGCGCCTCTGTACGCGCACTGTCCAAACCGCAATTGGGAGTGCGAAGCGAAAATACCAACCGATGCGAAAGGTTGCAAGGACATAGCAAGGCAACTGATTGAAGATTCACCCGGTAAGAACATAAAAGTGATCATGGGCGGTGGACGGCAGATGCTGAAGTCGAATTCTTCGGGTACTAAAATCGACCCTATCGACACCTGGGCGTGCTACAGCCAAGACGGCCGTCATCTTATGGAAGACTGGGCAAGTGACAAGTCCGCGAGAAAGTTCAGGCACCAAATAGTCCAGAACAATGAGCAATTGAGAGCCGTAGACCCGGATGACGTTGATTTTCTCCTGGGAGTCTTCGCTAATGGACACCTCAACATGGACTGGCAGAGAATTGATACTCCGGAAGGACAACCTAGTTTAGAGGAAATGACTATCATGGCGATCAGGGTTCTAAGGAAGGCGGCTAAAGGGTTTCTGTTGGTAGTTGAAGGCGGGCTGATTGATTTTGCTCATCATCGCGGAAAAGCTGCTCAAGCGCTCAGAGAAACTGTTAGATTTTCCGATGCTGTTAATGCTACATTAGAAATGGTGGATCTGAAAGACACTTTGGTGATTGTTACAAGCGATCATTCACATTCTATGGCTTTCAATGGGTACCCGGATAGAAATTCTTCCATTTTGGGTAAGTTTTTGAGCAACATCTAATCAGCCGGCATAATGACCTTTTTGAAATTTGGCGACCATTTTAAACTGATTTTAAAAATATCATAAGACATTATACTACAACCTAGATACATGAAAAGTTCTTTTTTTTTAAAGAAAAAAATATACTTTCATCTAAATATTTTCCGATTTATCTTGATGTAGCATTGATAAATTGGCCATATTAGAACAAATCTGGGTTATTATGGCTTCATTATGACTTTATAAGCCCTCAATAGGCCTGATATCATCATATATAAGCGTAATAAATGGATATATAACTTTTTCACTAAAGTTAGTTCCAAAAGACACCAAAAGGTGGCGCATGGTCGATAAATAGTCTCGGTAAAAGAGACTTGAGTTTTGGAGTATATAAGGCCAAGAAGAAAAATTTTTTTTTGACTCTTTTGAAGATAGTGTCTTGAATAACTCACTTAAAAAAGCTCTTGATGCCAAATTAGCAATTTAAATCGTTTATTTTATCAATTTAATTGATTCTATTTATATATCAGTTAAAATACTATACTAATCTCTAATAATAAATCCATATATAACTTTTCGATAAAAGTTAGTTTTAAAAAACACCAACAGGTGGCGCATGGTCTATAAATAGTCTCGCTGAAAGAGACTTGAGTTTTGGACTATATAAGCCCTAGAATAAAATTTTTTTTTTTACTCTTCTGAAGACAATGTCTTGAATAACTTCACAAAAAGAGCTCTTAATGGCAAATTAGATATTAAAATCGCTTATTTAATCAATTTAATGAATTTATATCAGTTAAAAGACTGAAATAGCCTTTAGTCAAAAAATTTTTTATAAATTCGGCTTAAAATGTTTGATATTTTTTTTTTTTGGATATCTTTAAAATGTTTTTTCAGATAAATATAATAATCATAACAATTTTTGATTAAAGGAATTGCCCAAAACTCAAAATACGACAGAATTCCATACACTACACTATCTTACAGCACGGGAGGGCCCAACAATTTTGCATATGAAGTAAAAGACAACAAATCCGTGCGGATAGATCCTAGTGAGTTCAACACTTCTGATTTCAACTACAGCCAACAGGCGGCGTTCATCGGCGACGAAGCCTATCATGGCGGCGGTGATGTTCCTATTTACGCTACAGGTAATTAACTTTAAAAAATTCTTACTAGTATTTCTAAAAAAAAAATTGCAAGTATTTTTATCATTTTTTTAGGTCCTTACGCGCATTTGTTCCACTCAACTCACGAGCAAAACTACGTCGCCCACGTGATAGGTTACGCTGCGCAGATCGGACCGTATAAGAACTCTTCTGCGCAACTGGGCCGGAAGTATATTGCGATAATTTGCTCGCTTACTTTTATCGCGTTTTACTGCTCAAAAATGCTCTGACAGTATTTTTACTTATCTGTGCTCATTTGATCTTTTCTTATCGGAAATATATTCTGATAAAATTATGATCTGTTTTTTATTTTTTCAGTATTGCAATGTTGAAGATTAGTCATCGATTCTTCAAGTAATAGCTAGCAAATGATTAATTAGTTAAGTAAATAAAATGGTATTTTTAGATAAATCACATGTAACATAGCTAAATGTTATGTATACAGTGATTATGTTATCAATATCTTTTTTTTGTAAACATATTTTTTAGCGAATAAAGAATTTTTTTCGTATCTTTCTATTTTTTTAATCATTTTTAAAAATAAAAAATATTTTTTCCTCAGTCCAAATTTTAACTATCAAATTTTCAATTTTTGGGTTTTAAAATTCTCAAAAATAATTTTAAAATTGCTAAAAAAATTTTATTAATATTTATTCTATTATAAAATTGAACGCTCGACAAAAAAAGTATCTTATGATTTTTTTATAAATTAATTTTTTCAAAAGTTATTCAAGATCAAAGTGAAAGCCAAAAAATTTTGAGATTTTCTTATACTTTTCCAGTTTTTTTTTGAGATAACTTTTAAATTCTTCGATTAATCACTTCAAAACCTTATATCAGCTTCTTCCTTTTCAAAAACTGCGTCTATTGCCGCCAAAAAGATCAAAATCGCACGATGCGTTTAAAAGATATCTTTAAAAGAATTTTTGGCGCGCTTTTTAACCAATTTCAAAATTTTCAAACCTAAAAAATTTTACAATTAAAAAAATAAATATATTAGAGCTGAATAAAAATAAATTATTAAGTTGTATAACCAAAATATTTACTCGATAGGCTTATCACTTTTAAAAATAACTTAAATATTACGAAAAACACAATAACACAAAAACACAAGCCCATAAATTAATAATCTTTATTATTATTTTCAGTTATCAATAATAATTATCACTTAAATATATATTTATACACTTAAATCGATCGCGTATTAACAAAACAATTTCAGTCTTATGCCGTATGTAATATAATAAATATAACAATAATCAGCCGTTATTAAGATAATTATTGTTAATTCACTATATACAACTCAAACTTAATATTATTTATAAGAAAATAATAATTATTTTAATTGCATTCTACAAATATAACCTAAAAAAATTCTTATTAAATCTACCTTACAACAATAATATCAGAATAGGGGCACAACGCCATCTAGCGGTAGCTGTCTAAGCTATTAACTTGTTCTTAAGATTTGATCTTATAAATGGTCTAATTTTATAAATAATTGTAAAAAAAATTTTCAGTACTTCAAAATTTTATAATTATAACAAAAAACATCGTAAAAAATTATAAATAATTAACATAAAAAATAAGAATAATTCTATTCAATTTTTCTCTTGCCTCGATTAACTTTTTGCGAAAGATTCGACGCGAAGAAAACTTTCATGGAAATGCAGCAAAGAAGCAACATGGCGGAGAACAAGAAAATGAACCCGGGTGTGAATTTCCCGATGAACATAATGCGAAGCAGCGTTACTAGTTGCGTAATAAGTACCACTTGCGAGAGGTAGATGGCGTAGATCAACAAAGAGTGGGGTTTCTTCGCTGACCGGCGCGCTGAGTGCTGTTGGAAGTATTCTTCGCTGAATTTGCCCGGGGATTTTTCCCTTGAAGCCTGGGGCTTGTGGGAATGAGAACGGTGAGCCCTCTGGCGGATCGACGCGTGAACACTGGCGTAGAGGAGGAAGATCTTGTCGGTGATCCGCTGGATCAGTTGGGTGAGGGTGAACTTTTCCGTACTGGTTTTAGAACCCAGGGAATAGAAAAAGTAGGCGAAGAGGTTCAGGTTTTGGCAGCAGTGCCGCAACTTTTGGATCGACGGGTTGTTGAAGAGCAGTGGTGTGCTTTGACTGCCATCTGTTGAAAGAAAATTTAACTGGTTAAAAAAATTTTAGAGATTAAAGAACAATTCGCTGTAATAACAATCTGTTTTTGCTTTTATGCTACAGAATTTATATTGACTTTTTAAATTTACCGCCGTTGGCTAAGCTCAATAGATGGCGCCAGGAGACTATCTACGTCATCAGTTTTGGCGCTAAATTTAAACATAAACGAAAAAAACTAGCAAATTGAAAGCTGTTTTTTTTAGGAACCTACTTATGGTTAATTAAAGGCAATAAAAGAAAAGTTACTTAATTTTATGGAATTTATCATAATATTAAGTGTAAAAAATCTATATAAAAAATTAATACGCAGAAATGCTTTTCTTAAAATTGATTTTTAAATTAATTAATAACATTTTTGAGGAAATTTCCGATTAATTTATTCATTAAATAATTATCAACATTTAATTGACTAATAAAAAATATACCACTCTGAATTACCGGTATACACTTGACAACACCAAAAGAGTTCCCTAACCTTCAAATTTATTTATGTTTGCTGTCTAACTAAAATGACTAAGATATTCTAGCATTTAAAAAACCGCGGTTACTTATGCGCCGAATAACTGCGCAATCGGTGTTGCCAAGTCAAATACAAGACTTTAAAGAACGCAAGTTTCGAGTGATTTTTCATAAAAAATATAAAATATCTCCGTAATACGTTCGGAAAGCTACTTTTTTATTGTTTTAATCGAAAGCTTATTATTTTTTCAATCAAATTCAATAAAAATAAAATTTTTTTTAAATCGTTAATTGCATTATATCCTTAACCAAATACACGGCTGGTGGAATCTCCATTCACATGTAAAAATTACAATTTTCAAACCTAATTATTTGATTAAATATCCCGAAAACCTACTGTTTTTTAATTTTTTTATTAATTATCAGGCTACGTAGATTGAATTTACAAATTTTCAGGAAATTTTAAAAATTTGACTTCGCGTGGATCTCCTTAATATAAAAAATTAATTTTTTTTTAATTTAGTGGAATTTTCTATAGAAACGTGGTGTTAACACTATAACTCTCGAAGAACACAATCAATTGACCTGATTATTTTTTTATTCGGTTGGTAGAGTCAATGCCCAGAGATGTTTAGAAAATCACGGGTCAATTATTATTCGTTTTATTATAAATAAAATATTTCTATCACAATTTCCTCACAATTTTTACTCATCAGCCAGCCGTATGTAATATTTTTTTGTAAACAGAGTTCTTTATAGAGTCCATACGCGCATGCGTTCCTACAATTTGTAATTAACCTGTCTTAACTTGTGAGGGCGCTCAACTCTTGAGACAACTATTCCTATTCGCGGGAAAATTTAAACAAACATAAAAAGTCAATATTGTAGAGAAAGTTTATTTTTTATAATTAACTTATTAATTAAAGTATTTTTTATTATTTTTCTTTCTCCAGTGTACAGTAGATCATTTTTATTCCAATTGAGGTTTAATTCAAAATTACTGAAAAATCGAAAATAATTTCCAGGTTTTTAATTAAAAGTTTTATATATTAACGTTTATTTGAATTATTCGGGTGACTTGAGCGCTTAAGGCCAGCACATTTGGATTTGCAAAAGATTTTATTTAAATAATTTATTAAATAACAAAAAGTTTCATAAAACGGCAGGAATTACATAAAATTTCTTAATTAATTATTTAACGACTTTAAAGCTTCGTAAAAAAATAATTTTAGGTTACCTTTTAATAAATCAGAGACGCGTCGAACTAGCGTTGGCTTGTTGGCCAACAAAGGAGCCTCCATTTTAAATATTTCTAACCTCAACAATAAAAATGATTGTTTCCGCTTCGGAGGTCAACTGACTACTGGCTCTTATTTTCCTCCGCGAAAATAACAGCTCCCTCTTTTAATCGCGGAATTATCACCTGAAAAGAAAAAATTCGTTTTAGCATACCACAACAATAATTACCAGCAATTAGACCGTACATACTAATGACCAAGTGAAAAAATAACGGAAGAGGTTTGTTTCATAAAACCGTGATAATTTTTAAACAGTCTATAAAACTATAATTAATATTATTGTTATTTCTGACCGTTAGAGTTATTAAATTCATTTTTTATTATTATGAATACTTGATGCATAGCGCTCACGCGGGCGGCACGTGATGCTTGATAACCTCTAATCCAGAGATGAAGATTAGCAAAAAATTGTTTTATTAACAGAAAAAATAATATAAAAAATGTTGTTTGGTAAAAAATAGAGAGAAAAAGATTGTAATTGTGAAAAGATTGGCATTGACATTGACTTTATCTCGAGTCAATTAGCAATTATTCACTTGAATTGAGTGCCTTGCGTAATTCGATTATTATGATAATTGTGGGCAAGCGGGTAGAGTAATATATTTTATATGATAAAAAATTATATTATATTAGTTTTGTTGATATATGCACTGCTGAATCTTGAGAGCGGGCTTGAGATTTTAAATTAATAAATTTAAATTGTAATTTAGGTTATCGAGTGTAATTCACGCGATAGGTGATTATAATTATCCGTTTATAATTATAAGCAAATTGGATTCGAACTTTCGAGCTTGTCGTTTATTGTCTATTGGGTTAATAAATTGATTTATTGGAAAATTGTAAGTTAACACCTACAATATAAATTAATAAAAAATCGACTTCTAAATTAATTTTACAGTCTAAAATAATTTTAACAGTCAATTTTTTATTAATTTTATTAAAGGATTTATTTTTACTAACAAAAAAATTTCTTTATTTTTTTTTTTATAATAATAAACAATAGTTAGTTTGAAAATAGGATTTGAATACTATATATGTAGATATACAATTAACATGAAGGTAATCATTTCAAATCATCTTTCTGAATCAGGGTTAAAAAATTACAAAGTTCAAATTAAAAATTTTTTATTTTAATAATAATTTTAAAAAATATTTATTTTTTTTTTAATAACAAAGTTCGTAGGAAAGTGGACATAGAATGGTAATTAAAATACTAATTGGCAATTCATTGCGACGTTTCGGTCATATATTTGACCATTATCAGGCATCTAAAATTTAATTATATTAATTTTATTTTTATAAAAATAGCATTAAGGGGGTATTCTGGTCTAGAAATTTAAAAAATTCGAATTTTTTTTTTGCATATTTTCAAATTTTAGACCCTTAAAAATATGTCCTTAAGTGGATTTTTCAAAATTCGAATTATTTTCGGAGATACAGTGGATTTTGTTGCAGCTGCTTCTGCTTCTGCTTCTTCAATAGAAGGCAGAACAGCTCGATTAGCAGAAAGAACTTCGTAAAACGTCGAGTAGGAAGTAGAAGAAGGCCCAATTTATGGATCTGGGATTCGCGATTAATCCAAAGTGAATATTAAATATTATTGTGAGTCATTTTACTGAAATTGTTTCTCAAACTTTAAACGCGATTTTCTCGAAACTACTTTTTTAAAGTGGTTGACATGATATCTTAAGTTCTACCCCACCGATTCCTTTGAAATTTAGTGGGAATTTGCTTTAAATATCTCTCTATCGCGTCTGCTACGGATTTCAAAAAATTTCAATTTGGAGTATTTTTAAAAAATTCAAAAAGGTCAAAAAAAGGGGTAAAAAAAAATTGATATTTTATGTCGACGCCATTTTGTGAATTTTTTTTTTTTTTTGTTATAGTCAACGCGATAGTGACATATTTACAGATTGAGAATTTGTCAATTTTTTTTGTTTTATATCACTACAAGGGCTGGAATCATGTCAACCAGAGTGCACCGTTTTTTTTGTAGCCCCCACTTCACCGGCCTGTAATTTGTCAAATTTATCATTTTTTTTTTTTCAAATTTTTTTTTATATTCTTGAAATGTCAATAAACATCATATAAAAAAACGTATAGTAAAAATGTTTTTCATTTTTTTTTTTATGTTAGTTTGAAAAATGCCTAAAATTTAGGCTTCTAGACCAGAATACCCCCTTAATAAAATTCCACAGAATTTTATCAGTAAAAATTTATAAAATTATCTTCAATCCTTTGAAATTTATTATTTCAAGATATGATTGATCACTTTAGTTTTTCCACCGTACTGTTGATTCATTTTTGTACTTAAGTCGGTAGAATAACAATTATAAAACAAAAGTGAATAATTATGAAACAAGTGATTAAACACAGTCGAATAAAGGTAGTATGAAAGCCGAAAGTTAAGATAATGAACAAATATATATAGTTCCGTAAAAGTGGACAAGCATATTCAGCTATACATATAAATAGTACTAAATTATATTGTACTTTATGTATATCGAGAGACAAATAACTGCGCATACTGAGACGAGGAAACTTGGTCGTACATCCAGCAGCCGCAATATTGCGGACAAGAATATAGGAGTTAGACACTGCTAGCACTATCTATGTCTATTATATGTATATGTGTATAGCTCTAGCCTATATTTGTACTAGTATTATGTAGTTGTAGAGTAGGCTTTCCTTCTATACTTAACTAGTGGTATACCTGCAATAGAAGGAGCTTCATGCTTCCATACAAAGTAAATTCCACTTGCAATCCTCTGTTCGTTTCTGGAATACGTGAGACACTGCATTGTGTTCCGCTCCGCACGCCCGAATTACTCTTAGGGAGTACACTAAGGCCTCTGATGCTCAATAAACGTTGCCCACTTATGTCTAACATCTACAAACCTTTCATGTATATTCCGTAGTTAGTATTAGCTTAATTTAATATTTAAGCAAATACTTATCTTCTGCTCTTGTTAGGCAATTAAACATTTATGCTTAGTTCAATAAAATTAAGCATTTTATTTTCTTATAAGCCGAGAGGAAATTTTCGTCAAAGTAAAATAATTTTTTGATTCGAGAAGATTAAAAAATTGAATTTAGTAGTTAGAAATTTCAACAGAAGACCAATTAAAATTCAAATGAAGTAAAAATATATTTCAACAAGTAACATGTATACTATTCTTAAGTTAATTATTCTTCCGGCAACTATTTTCTCGCAAATATTGTAGCAAAAAAATTGGTTAATTAAATCCAATTCGCTATTCCAGTTATGTTGATTTAGAAAAAGATTAGAACTTTACTGAGATGACCTTAGGATTAATTCTCAAGTTTTTTATTAATATTGTTAAAAGTAGTTGAGAATAAGATTTACAAATCTTTTACATCAAATAGATGTATTAAATGTTTGAAGATTTATCACGGAAAAAGTATTGAATGGTAGTTAAATATTCAATCAATACTCCTCGGCTTACTGGAACTATTTACTGATGTTAAAATTTGCTCAACTAAGATCGACAAAATATAAAATAAGATAAAAAATTAAGAATACGGTTGACCCTGAAGGCCATCCCTGCAACTTCCCGCCAATTCTATACCTAAACGCTTGAAAT